CAGCAAGGCCAGAGTGCACTAGAGCTGCCTCTTTAGACCTTTCTAATCCCTCTCCCTGGTCCTTTAGACCCTCCCCCACATTCCCCTTTGGGAGCCATGGTGGCTTCGCGGGTTACCCATTGGGCCTACTAACCACAGTGTGAACTCACCAGCCATTCTGCAGGATAAAGATGAGGCTGCTTCCAGAAAGAGGCACTGTCTGAGAAGTCGTAGGGAGCTCTTCGACTCTGTCCTCTAGGGCGACTGTGAGTCAGAACCGACTCAATGGTAGTGGGTTTCCTCCTCCTTGGAAGCATCCTGGATGGCACAACAGTGAAGCACTCGACGGTTAGCCATGAGGGTGATGGACCAATCTATGGCAGTCCGTTCCCATACATGTTACATGTCACAGAATGGTACGGACCCGAGGGTGCCTCACTCACCACACAACCTCCTCCCCTGCCCCATCGCAAAGAGCCCTCTTTTCCATGTCTCTATGAGCGCCTTTCCAGGGTGCATATGTGAGGGGGTTTCACAAAGGTCGTTCCAATTTTTCCAAATGTCAAGTTGTAGTGACAAATTGACATCGAATTCACCTATCATACGCCAGTTGGAACATATTGAAAAGAGTTGTGCAATCATCACCACAATCAGTTGTCGAACATTTTCTTCTTTCTTGTATTCATTATTATCTGTTCAGCTCCCCCCAACCCTAAGGCACTATGAACCCAGTCACTGTCTCTATAGATTTCACTCAAAAAAAAACAAACAAAAAACGCACTGCCATCTGTGGGTTTCTGAGATGGTTCCTTTGACAGGAGTAGAAAGGCCAGTCTTTCTCCCATGGAGCTGTAGGAATTTCGAACTGACTGCGGATTGAAGCCCAACGCGTAACCACTACACCACCGGACTATAGATTTACCCGTCCTGAATTCCATATGCAGAAAACCATCAAACACAAAACAGTCTCGCTTCCAGCCTCGTGACACGATCGAGATCTCTACGTAGGAAGCGGATGATCACAGCTCGCTCCCGCGGAGTGGCTGCTGGGTTTAAAGCGCCAGCCTTTCCATTAGTCACCAAGCACTTGAATCCCATGCCAACCACCTGGAGTCGATTCCAGCTTCATAGCCTCTTTTGGTTTCTGAGATGTACGGGAGCAGAAAGCCTCAGCTTCTCCTGAGGAGTAGCTGACCGTGTGGTTAGCAGCCCACGGCACAACCCCTTCGCCACCAGGGCTCCCCTCCCTCCCTTTCCTCCCCACCCTTCACATTGAGATTCCCTGTCACTTCTTAGTAGGAACAACACCACTCATTTCCAATTGGGTCCTTAAAACCCTGCCGTGGGTAAGTGTCCAGTTCTTTGTGGCGGATAGCACTTTCCCCCTCGCTACTCTCCCCCAAATCAGCCACTCTCTCCGCCTGCGTCTTCCGCGTGCCACCCTCTCTGAAGGTCTGGAGCGGGAGGACTTTGCCACGAGACTGTGAGTTCTTGATGTGAGGCTGAACGACTAGCAATGTATCGATCTAGCACGCGTGGGAGTCGGGTCAAATGTGTCTGGAAATCATTCACCAGGCCCGTTTCAGAGCCAGGACCTGGCCGCCGTGCAGTGGAATCACCCAAATTAAGAGGCAGGAAACCTAGCTTCTGGTGCCAGTTCTGCCTCTCTGTAGCTATGTGTGAACTTGGGCCGGTGGCCTCTGCTCTCTGGACCTCAGTGTCCTCGTGTGTACAGTGAGACTGTAGAACTGGAAGTGCCAGAGTCATTTGCACATCCACTTGTCTCCCCAGAGGGCCAGGGCGGCCCCGCCTCTCCAGCTAGCTGCCCACTCCTGGATGGTTCTGGTTTGTCTTCGTTTGGTTTTGCTTCTCCCACACACGAGGAAGGGAGGCTGGGGGAGGCTTTCGGCATCACTGGAGAGAACGTTGCACTTCACAGGGGCCGTTTCCAAAGGCAGCGGAATTAACCTGACCTTGTTCGCAGTTTACAGGAGACGTATGAGGCCAAAAGGAATGAGTTCTTAGGGGAACTCCAGAAAAAAGAAGAGGAGATGAGGCAGATGTTCGTCCAGAGAGTCAAAGAGAAAGAAGCCGAGCTCAAGGAGGCAGAGAAAGAGGTAAAGGAGAGCCTATCCTACTGCCAGGACGGACAAGAAAGGAGCTTGAACTGGGTTATGGGCAGGGCTTCTGCCCTAGAGGGCAGCCAGTGAGAGCCTGGCAGGCTGTGGGCAGGGATGGGCATGGCATGTGGAGTGCTGCTTTGGCTGGTACAGAGTGGGCTTCGACATCAGGGTCTCCCCTCTTCATTCCTCCAAACGGGAACGTGTGCTCATTCTGTCTAATGTTGCTCTCTAGAGCAGGGTCCTCAAACTTTTAAAACAGGGGGCCAATTCACTGTCCCTCAGACCCATTGGAGGGCCAGACTATAGTTTCAAAAAAAACTATGAACAGATTTCTATGCGCACTGCACATATCTTATTTTTCAGTAAAAAACAAAACGGGGCAAAAAAAACCCTGCCAGGCAGATAAATGTCCTCGTCAGGCCGCATGTGGCTCGTGGGCCCTAGTTTGAGGACGCCTGCTCTAGAGCTTCATCAACTCCACTAGGTAGCCACTAGCTACGTGTGACACTTTACATTTAGAATGGTTTTTTTATTCCTGTAAATAACTATAGTCTGGAACCCACAGGGGGTTGGCAGGAGTCAGCATTGACTTGATGGCAGTGAGTTTTCGGTGCTGCTACTTTGGTTTAAGTAATCAGTAGCTAACTAAAAGATTGGCAGTTCAAATCCATCTAGAGGTGCCTCGGAAGAAAAGCCTGGCAATCAACTTCCAAAAGGTCCAGACTCCAAAGAAAATAACAACAACAAAAACACTGCCATCAAGTTGATTCCAACTCATAGCAACCTATGTATTAGAAATTAGAACCTCTCTATAGTATTTTCTTGACTGTAATCTTTACAGGAGCCCTAGTGGTATAGTGGTTGTGCTTTGCCTACAGTCTACATGGTCAGCAGTTCAAAACCACCAGCAGCTCCATGGGAGCTACTCCTATAAGCAGTTTTCTACTCCCATAAACAGTTACCGTCTCGGCAGCCCACAAGGACTCACTGTGAGTCAGCAATGACTCAGTGACAGGGGGTTTGGGATTTTTTTTTCTCGGTAATCTTTACAGAAGCAGATGGCCAGGCCTTTATTCTGTGGTGCTACTGGTTTGAAGCTGAGCACAAACTATTTTCACCACGCGAACCCTGGGAAAGGTCCCCACCACTGAAGTGCAGTTCTCCTCAGAAACACTTGTGGTCACCTCGAGCTGGAATCGGATCGACTCGGTGGCAACTGGAGATTTTTTCAATTGATTAAAAGGAAATGAAATGTAAAATTCATTCCCTCGAAACCATTGGACACGTTTCAAGTATTCAATTCTCGTGTCATTGTTGTTCGGGGCCGTGAATGAGCTCTGACTCATGGCGCCCCTAAGGACCACAGAACAAAACAATGCCAGGTCCTGTGCCATCCTCATAATTATTACGCTTGAGCCCATCAATGCAGCCACTGTGAGGACCTTCTTTTTTTTTTTTTTTGGCAACGCTCACCACCATCGAGTTGATTCTGACTCTAACAACCCTATAGGAAACAGTAGGACTGCCTCTGTGGAATTATGAGACTGTAATACTTTACAGGAGTAGAAAGCCTCATCCTTCTCCCTTAGAGAGGCTGGTGGTTTCAAACTTCCGACCTTGCAGTTAGCAGCCCAATCCATAACCATTATGCCACCAGGGCTTCTGTTTCGCAACTAATCGTTATCATGTTGGACATCACCAATACAAAACATTTCCAGCATCACAAAAAGTTCTCTTGGATAGCACTGTTAAAGAGACAAGTCCTGATGCCCCCTTGAGGCCAAGTGTAGACTACTGCTTTTCCCTAGGTGCCCTGAGCTCAGTAAAGAACGCTCATCACTTCCTTGGCTGTTCTGTCCCCACCCTCCTCCGGTGCTGGTCCCCACAGTTATGGGGAAGATAGGCCTTGGCAGTCTTGGATGCCTTACTGAAACCTAAAACTGCCACAGTTGGGGCATGTCCGTGGTCACGTGAGCGCGTATTTCACTCTAGAGTGCACATTTCTGTTCCATTTCACTTTCGAGCTCCAGTGAGTTTTTAAACGAAGGTAAAATTGACTAAATTAGTACAGTTAGCCCTCGAAGGAGCCCTGGTGGTACAATGGCCACATGCTCACCTGCTGACAAAGACAAGCTGCCTGAAAGAAAGGCTCCCAGTGGCTCTGCCGAAGAAAGCTTTGGTGATCGGCTCCCAGAAAGGGTGACCCCGAGCCAAACCCATGGCCACTGAGTAGATTCTAGCGATTCCCAGTGACTCTCCTGGATAGACTCGAACTGCCTCAGGGGGGTCCAGGGCAGTGATTTTGTTTTCAGTTTCCCTATACATTGTGGTTAATGTTTTGATGGTTCTGCTCCCCCCCGCCCCCTACTGTTTAATTTGAATCAGGAGAGGGGGCGATTTACATTTCACAACACCTTTTTTGGATTCAACAACATACCAAACCGCCCAGTCCCCAAACCAAACTCACCGCCATCGAGTCGATTCCGACTCATAGCGACCCTAGAGGTCAAGGCAGAACTAGCCCTGGGGTTTACAGAAGCTTTCTACTCCTGTACAGAGTTACAGTCTCTAAAAAGACAAAAGTTGAATGCAAAAAAAAGTACAGTCTCGGCAACCCACAGGACTAGTCCTGCCTTGTCCCCTAGGGTTGCTGTGAGCAGCTGGTGATTTTGAACTGTTGACCAAAACCAGCCCAACGCATAACCACTGGGACACCAGGCCCACACTTCACCCTAGAAACGGAGAACAGTTCACTCTGGACAGAACCTCACAGCCACACTGTCCTCTGACTGGTCACCTCGCCTTCAAGGTCTCCTTGACTTGTCCTCCCAAGGTTACCAGATTCATTGACGTGAGGGCCAGTCCAGGTCCTGTCAACAAGCGTGTCACCTCAAAGCCCTGTCCCCTGAAGAAGGGCCGGACTCAGCGGCTCCCAGGTCTCACCTGTCTTTAATTGGCTCTGACTCTTCAGTGCAGTCACCATGGCCTGGGGCAAGAGGATGGATTTTACTCAGGTTCTCTTTTCAACAGAGAAAGGTCACTAGGCGCTTTTAGCAAGAGAGGTAAAGGCGGATGGGCCATGCATAAAAGTCAGATGAACAAAAGCCAGCTGAAAGCTGATAGACCTTCTGCCTGCTGGTCCAGCCAAAGCTGGTTTATATAACACGGTCTGTCATCCGTTGCCTCAGGAGAAAGATGCGACCGTCTCCTACCGTGAGAGTTGACAGTCTCAGAACCCCGCGGGGGCAGTTCTACTTGGTCCTGTAGAGTGTCTGTGAGTTGGAGGCTATTCAGTGGCAGTGGGGTGGCGTGGGTTTGGGAGTTGGGTCACCTGCCATAGCCTCCTAAGCAGCAGTCCCCAAACACCCGTAGGGCCTGGAGAACGGGTTTCCTTGATGGTGGGCAGCAAGAACTAGGTCATCCTAAAATCGCTCTTGAATCCTCAAAAGAAAGAGAGACGAGGCTTGATCTGCTCTTTGTAGTCCCCATACTTTATGTTCTTGTCGGTTCCTGCCTATGTCTCCTGCTCTCTGCCGCGCTTACCAGCATGGCTTGTCAAAACCGTTTTCCTAGTCTTCATCAAGTCCCTGGGTCTGTTCTGGGCTCCCGAAGCCTCCCCTGGGTCAAAGCTGCCATCTCCACCCAGACAACTACACGCCTGGCCATTGAGTCAATTGTCCAATTCACAGAAGAGGACTGCCCCTCTGGGTTTCCGAGACGGTAAATCTTTACGGCAGGAGAAAGCTTCAGCTTTATCCCACAGTGCAAGTTTCAAACTGCTGGCCTTGCAGTAGAAGCCCCACACAGAAGCCACTATGGCCCATCTCCGTAGTCATTTCATGTTATGCAAGTCTTTTATCTCTTTCTATGTCCAAGTCCAAACATTGTTGACATTTTCCCTGCAATCCATCTGTAGCTATCATCCCTGACTTCGGGGAAGGAGAAAGGGCAAAGAGCCCCTTGCGTATTGGATGGTCTCCTAATGCAGTCCCCGGAAGATTGGATTTGCCACTTCCTAACTGTGTGACCTCGGGAACATTCCTTAACCTCTCTCTCTGTTTCCTCATAAAATGGAGATAATAATAGTGCTACTGGTGTCAGAGTGGATTATGCATTCGGCTGCTAACTACAAGATCATCAGTTCTAATCCACCAGCTGCTCTACAGGAGAAAGAGGAGGCTTTCTACTCCTATAAAGATTTACCATCTTGGAAATCTTCAGGGGCAGTTCTACCCTGGCCTAGAAGATGGCTATGAGTTGGAATTAACTCAGTGGCCGTGAGGTCCGTTTCGTTTCCTCGGGATTGTTGTGATAATTCAGTGAGGTAATGCATCTGAAATGCTTACATTCAGTTATTAGACGCGATACCATTAATCACATGTGGTAGCTGTGGAGATGCTTCTTTTAAGCCAAACACTGTGTGAAGCAGAATTCAAGGTTCTCCCACCGATCCTGGAGCAGAAACTAAATGCAGAGAACAATCCAAAACGTGCTGTCCTTTGGTGGCATTATGACCATCGCTGGCAAAAATGTCTTCTCAAGTCTCAGGATCCTACAGGATTACAACCCTCCGAGCACACGCCCCTCCCCACCACCACCACCACCACCACCACCACCATGTTGGGCTCAACTGGGCTGGGGGCTGCTCATGGGGTGTGTGGCAGAGGTGGGACGCTCCCCAAACTCCCTGTGCTTCTCCCCTAGCTCCATGAGAAGTTTGACCGGCTGAAGAAACTACACCAAGACGAGAAGAAGAAGCTAGAGGATAAGAAGAAATCCCTGGATGATGAAGTGAATGCTTTCAAACAGAGAAAGACGGCCGCTGAGCTGCTCCAGTCCCAGGGATCCCAGGCTGGGGGGTCACAGACGCTGAAAAGAGACAAGGAGAAGAAAAAGTAAGTGGTCGGCTGGGCTGGGCCTTGTCTGCTTTCCCTCCTGCGCATGTCTCCAGGGCAGGACCTGGAGGCTGAGGGGACTGAGGACAAGAGGCAAGCTGGGGGCGGTTTGACCAGCTCAGGCACCTAGACTTTGATCTCAGAGTTCCCAGGAGGCCTTTGGATTCCTGTGAGGTAGAGGAGCTGAAAGTAGAGGTATGTAGCTTCTGAGGCCCAGCCCCTTAGAAAAGTGCTGCCGACTTAAGGCCTGAAGTGGAAGGAGAGAAAGGGAAAGGAAAGAGAGAGTGTGGAAGAAGGGGAGAAACAGTAAGAGCTCCAAAGCTGTACCAGGGAGAGGAGCAGATGAAGGGCAGAGAGAGGAGTGGAAGAAAGAGAGCACCCAACAGAGGCTGGAGCTGACTTGGCTTCCAGACACGTTCTAGAACATGCCTGTGTTCTGACCTCACTCTGCCTCGGCTCTCCCTAGCGATAGCCAACAGAACATTACTGCTACCGAAGACCATAGCCCAGTCCTAACTCCCCACCCCTCCTAGCTGCTTCTTCGTTCTTGGCCTGGGGGACTGAGAACTCAGTGGGGAGGTAGATGCCAGGACCCTTACTCCATGTGCCCCATCTTCCTTCTAGTACTTGGTAAGGCGGAATCACCTGGGAAACTGGTCACCTACCACGTGGGTGATAAGTCAGAATCAGAGTAGAGAAAAGCACCTCTGTTGGAACCTGTACACCGTCAAGAAAGTATCAGTGGTCCCCCTTGCGTCCTTTAACATGTTAGGACAACGTGACTTAGAGTCACATCAGAGTGTTTAACTGTGCCCTTACTAAAGGGGCCAGAAGAGCCGAAAGAGTTGCTCTTGTTTGCAGTAACATTTTCTTTGGTTTACCCCTATATTTGGCAGAAGGAAAATGCATCTCTTGGCCTCCAGCCAGCCCTGGCTTGACCACTTAGGTACAGCAAAGTGCCTTCTGTTTGAAGGCATACTGTCTGGCCATCCAGTGACTCCTTAGTCAAAATGTGAGCATTTTCACCAATTTGTCCAGAGAGGTTTTGTTACGGAATCGTGCTATAGAGCACATTCATTGACTTATTAGCTTTGGCTATATCTGAGGTCAAAGTTGAACTACCCGCTTCCCTGCCCCCACCCCACCCCACCCTCACAAGTCCCTTTGGACACACCGTAGAGTGTGTGCTGTGTTGTGGTGTATTGGTTGCACCCGCAGGAATGAATTCCTCTTTTGAAGACCATAAAAGTCTCCTTTTTACTTCCAGTTCTCACCGGCTACATTCACAGTGCTGTGGAGATTTGTTAGTGGCAATTCCTGAGGCAGGAAGTAGTCCATTCGTTTCTCCTGAGCTCAGTGACGCCAAACGAAGTCCTTATTCAGATGTTCAGGGGAAATTCTTCATAGACTGCCAGCTTTTCCCCCACTACTTGCCTCAGGACACCACAAGCAGCAGGCCTTGTGTAGGGGGACTTTTCTCTCCAAGAAGATTTGGCCTTGGTGACTCCATGCCCTTTCCAATTCTTTGGCATGGCTGAAAACCTGGCTGATAGTGTAGCACCGCACAGCAGCAACAAGGGTCTAAGAAGACGGACTGTCCTCTTTTGGACTTCCAAATGTCTAAGGAGCCCCAGCTCTGAACTTCCTACATAATTCCAGGAGAACTTGCTTAGCATCTGGAAGTTCCACCATCAGACTGATGCCGCTCTGCCCCCATGGTGATGGTGGTGGGTTTGAACAGAAGAGCTGGTGGGAATAGTGTTTCTTCTGGAGAGGTGGGGGCTGGAGCCAATAGACTCACTTATTTAGAAGTTCCTTTGGTGGCCCTTAGAGAGATTAAGAAAGAGTACCCATGTGGCAGGGAGCGTGCTCAACTCATCCCATCCCCACACCTCCTGATCTTCTCCTTTGACCTCCACCTCCTCCATTGTTTGTGTCAACTCATAATCATTGATTTCTTCTCATGCTCACCCCCATCATCATCAGTTCTTAATGTTTTACAGTTAACTCTGCTGTGTGCTGCATGCTGCATGAGACCCAGGGTCCTGGTAAGCTTCATTAACTCTAAATAGAACTGGCATTGGCTCCTAGAACACAGTCCCTCAAATACCCACATTCACCCGCCCCCACACACATACACAAATGCATCTCTAATCTTAAGAGGAGCTGCTTCATTGGTCTAACTGGTTTCCTCTTATAAATTACACGAAGAAATAGGTCAGGGTGGTTTCAAGTGTGTGCGTGGACTGCTTGCTGACCTGATTCAAAGAGGAGAGTTTCCCCGACTTTGGCTGCTGGCATAGCTGAGTATCATAGGTGGACCCTGCTATCGATATTTGCAGTTTCCATTTGGGCTCCTATTTTTTTCTTTCTCTTATTCTTATTAGGACGCTTAATCCTGAAAGATTCCTGTTCACATTAATGCTGCCATAGTGATTAGGGAAACGACTGGGCTCATAAGCCCTGCCCAAGTGCCACAGTCAGTAGGATCTCCCAGATTTAGAAAGGTTCACAGACTATGGAAACCTGCCTCCCTCTAGTGGCTGTTCCTTAGGTTCAAGTTCTCAAACTTCCGGGCCTGAAACCATAATAAATAACAGTGTGAGAAAATTAGGAGACCCCAAATGTTAGAGAGAAGTTTTGGTTGAATTCCACAAGGACCAAGTTCATGAAAACTTTTGCTAAAGAATAAACAAGTGACCGTTGATGACAAGGATACCTGAGGGTCTGTGTCCACAGAGATGAAAAAAAAAAAAAAAGGTCCTGTAGCTCATAGTGATGTGAAAGCAAAGGTTAAGTACCTCTGTAGGGTTCCTGGGTGGCACAACAGTTTTCAAGTACTGAGCTGAAAGTTGGTGGTTCAAGCCTACCCAAAGGCACCTTGAGGCTTAATGAACTGCTTCTGGAAAGTCACAGCCATGTTTTGTGGGAAAGAGAGGTTATTTGGTTTTGGTATCTACGCTGCTAGTGGAGTCCTGGGTTGTGCAAATGGTTAAAGTTGGTGGTGTGAACTGACTGAGCAGTGCCTTCGAAGAAAGACCTGGTGTTCTGCTTCCCAAAAGTCACAGCCATGAAAACCTTACAGAGTGCAGTTCTTCTCTGCAGCATGTGAGCTATTCGCGATTGCTATGTTTTTCATTGACTCGACTCAGAAGGACCTCATGCTGGGTACAGACGGGAAAGCCCCTCAAGGAGCTGGATGGACACAAGAGCTGCATCCATGGGCTCAGGGGTAGGAACTGTTGTGAGGCCGGTGCAGGACCAAGCAGTGGTTCCTTCTGTGGTACAGAGGGTCGCCATGGGTCGGAGCCTCCCAACAACAACAAGACTCAGGGGAGTGGGTGAGGAGGGAAGACCATTCGTTTTAATTAAAATCATGATGCTTATTATTTTTTAACTGTATGAGGCAAACTCTCAAGCGTACACAAAAGAAGAGAGACGAGAGTATAGTGAAGGACCCAAACACCCACCCAGAGCTCCTAGCTGAGACGACAGCCGTGAAGAAGCCACTCAAGGAGCTGGCAACTTCTTGCAGGGACAGTCTGCGGGTTCATTCAAAGCACCTGGCCAGAGGCTCCAAGCCCTTTCTTCCAGCTAGACAGGACATCCTCAGATTTTTCACCCCTCCTGTTTGGTCAGTAGTGAAGATGTTTTGCCCCTTCCCCTCAGCCCCGGTGCACTAGCTACAGCAACCTGTTTGGTGTCAGACACCTTGCACTCTATTTAAATCAGCAACTACAGTGGGGAAGGAGGACACTCTTTCTCAATACTTTATGGCCCCTGCACCTAGCAAACCAAGTGTAAAAAGACTAGTGATTCCCTGAGGGACTTTGAATACTGCCTAGAAAGGTTTTGATGTGAAGGTAGGCTTGACTGGTCATTGTGTAGGTGTGAATATGATGGTATTGTGGTTACTGTTTTGTTTTCTTAGAGAAGATGAAAATATTTACAGGTAGTGAGAGGTTTCACTTTAGAATAATTCATCCTGTTGTGTCTGAGCTAGGAGCTCAGACCCTGTGGATTTCGTTTGTTTGCCCATTTTCATTGAGAGCTGGAAAGCTCTTTTCCTAGGAAGTTGATTCAAATTTCATTGCACATGGTTTGCCATCATTTCATTCACATTTCCCTGAGTGGACCATTCATTATCAGTAGCCATTACACAAGTAAACACGGGCAACGCTCTAATGAAGTCCATGCACTACACGTAGGAGGCAATGGGTAAACTGCTGCCACAGCCGACCTCAACCGAGGAGGCTGGCTTTTCCCAGCAGGTTTCTCCACAGCAGACCAAAGAGGGGAAGGTGGCCACTCAGGCAACGCCCCCCCCTCCTGCCCCCGCCCCCTCCTCAGAGCCCTCATTCTAGAATTGGCTCACAAAGGCCACCGGAAGGCAGACAGAGGGAGGTTTTCTTATTCTTCTTTGACTTCCAAAGGGCCGTGGCACTCTTTGAAGCTGTCTGCAGTGGAGAAAGAACTTTTTATTTGACCAAGTACACAGTTGCAGATGCCATATCTCATTGACGAATGATCTTGGGGGTGGGGCAGGGGCACAGTATATGTACAATATGGGATGTTGTTGCTGTCACATGTCATCAAGTTGGTTGTGACTCCGTGATCCCATGTGACAAGGTAGACCTGCCCTCAAAGGGTTTCCTTGGCTGTAATTTTTACAGAAGCAGAACACTCATTTTTCTCCCATATAGCTGCTGATTGCGCTCAAATGGTCAACGTTTTGGTTGGCAGGGCAGCGCTTAACCATTGTACCACCAGGCTGTATGCAGAGCCCAAACATACTGGTCCCAGGAAGCCCAGAATATAGACCATTGGTATATTTTTTAGGCTACTCTTCAACTAGGAAGCAGACAATGGGTAAAATGAGAGGGGAGCATCTTAGCACTTTCAAAATGCTTTAGTATACAATCTCTCACTCTATCCTTACAATAGTCTTGTGAGGCAGCAACAGGGGGTTCTCTGTAGTTCACAAAATGAGCAAATAGAAC